CGCTTTCTACTAAGTTATGGCATGTAAAGAGTGGATACGGGCGGCTGCCAGAACTGAAACCACCAAAAATTCATTTGTTTCTTGCTTACTCTCTCGCGTTCTCTACTAAGTTATGGCAGTTGCACCAGTCACTATGCAGTCAGCAGTGGAGCTTACACATCCAGGCAGCACAATGCTAATACATGTACAATGTAGCAGAGTTTACGCAGCAGTCGCAACCATACATGTACAGCTGGACAATGACAGTGTATGTATATGTATAGTGTATGTATGTGTGTTTGAGTGAGGATTTATCTAAGTGCGTTTTTTTTGTAATTTTTATTTCAGGAAGCCATGCAAGAGGTTTGGGTTGCATGTAAAGAGTGGATACGGGCGGCTGCCAGAACTGAAACTACCAAAAATTCATTTGTTTCTTGCTTACTCTCTCGCGCTTTCTACTAAGTTATGGCAGGTGCACCAGTCACTTTGCAGTCAGCAGTGGAGCTTACTCATCCAGGCGGCGCAATGCTAATACATGTACAATGGAGCAGAGTTTACGCAGCAGGCGCAACCATACATGTACAGCTGGACAATGACAGTGTATGTATATGTATAGTGTATGTATGTGTGTTTGTGTGAGGATTTATCTAAGTGCGTTTTTTTGTAATTTTTATTTCAGGAAGCCATGCAAGAGGTTTGGGTTGCATGTAAAGAGTGGATACGGGCGGCTGCCAGAACTGAAACCACCAAAAATTCATTTGTTTGTTGCTTACTCTCTCGCGCTTTCTACTAAGTTATGGCAGGTGCACCAGTCACTTTGCAGTCAGCAGTGGAGCTTACTCATCCAGGCGGCGCAATGCTAATACATGTACAATGTAGCAGAGTTTACGCAGCAGGCGCAACCATACATGTACAGCTGGACAATGACAGTGTATGTATATGTATAGTGTATGTATGTGTGTTTGTGTGAGGATTTATCTAAGTGCGTTTTTTGTAATTTTTATTTCAGGAAGCCATGCAAGAGGTTTGGGTTGCATATAAAGAGTGGATACGGGCGGCTGCCAGAACTGAAACCACCAAAAATTCATTTGTTTCTTGTTTACTCTCTCGCGCTCTCTACTAAGTTATGGCAGTTGCACCAGTCACTATGCAGTCAGCAGTGGAGCTTACGCATCCAGGCAGCACAATGCTAATACATGTACAATGTAGCAGAGTTTACGCAGCAGGCGCAACCATACATGTACAGCTGGACAATGACAGTGTATGTATATGTATAGTGTATGTATGTGTGTTTGTGTGAGGATTTATCTAAGTGCGTTTTTTGTAATTTTTATTTCAGGAAGCCATGCAAGAGGTTTGGGTTGCATATAAAGAGTGGATACGGGCGGCTGCCAGAACTGAAACCACCAAACATTCATTTGTTTCAGTTGAACCAGTCACTATGCAGTCAGCAGTTGTGTCGAATCGAGTGCGGCACCCACTCATCCACTGAGTCAGAGCGATTGTTCAGCAAAGTTGGACAGATTATCACGGAACGACGAGCCTTAAAAGCTAAGCATGTGGACATGCTTCTTTTTCTTCATCATAACTCTTGGATCTTGGCAGAAGACTAAAAGCCATACATTTAATTTTAATTATATTTAATATTTTTTTGGTTTGTTATAGTCCATGAAGGATCTCATTATTGTAAGCATTTGAATTGTTTATTAAAATTTTTATTTTTATTTTTAAATATGCATTTATTTAGTTTGTTTTTTAACCCTTTATATGGCAGTGTTGCATATCTGCAACATACCCTTTAAAAGATATTTTTTCGCAATGCAAATCGAAAAAATCGAATGTGGCTATATGTTGTACATCTGAAACAAACGTATTTTATAAATGATTTGCTTTGGGCACATTTCTAGATGTTTTGTAAAACATATGTTCACTTTCCCGCCAATTTTGTGAGAAGCACATGTTGAGTGCGCTGAAAAAATTGTGTTGCAAAATTTTATTAAAAATATAGATATTTCTTTACGAAAAACTTAAGAAAAACAAAGGTAAATATGTTTCAAATGCATGTGCTATCAAGTTTTCACGTTTCTTGTTGTGTATTGTGTGTAGATTCGAAAAATCGGTATGTTGCAGATATACATCAAACAAGTATTTGAAGTTATATTGTGCAGAATTTATTTTGTTGTATTTATGCAACATAGAGTGTTTGTGTTTATATTATATGTTGTCATATGGTTATATGTTGTTGTTATGTGTCATAGAACTTGTCTTGGGTTTGTTGTATGTGTTTTATGAGACTACATATATAAATAGTACTTCTTACGCAGGAAATATGTCAGGAAAAGGTTTAACACCTTCACAGGTTGAAAATTATTTCAACAGTTTAGATAGCGAGGATGAACTTGACTTTTCTGCTGATGAAGAAAGCGATTTTTATCCAGATGAGAAAGATGCAGGTAGTACGGATGAAGATGACATCGATGACCAAAATCCACCGAGTAATGCCTTAGACGTTTCAAACTCAAATCTCGTAGATGATTCTGAGCCAAATGTTAAAAGTAATAACCCTGATCTGAAAAGAAACTTGCTATGGAGAAAACGCAGTTTAATTTTGAACGAAAATCAACTGCAGTTTCTCGGGAGTACTATGTTGCATCCGGAACTAATGGAACTATCAGAGCCAATACAATTTTTTTGGTATCTTTTTCCAAAAAACCTGTTTGATGAAATTACAATCGAAACAAATCTTTATATTCGCCAAAAAGACCCTAACGCACATGTCAATTTTACGTCCTTAGATATTCGACAGTTTGTTGGAATAATATTATACATGTCAATTTCGCGTCTTCCAAGAATTACTCAATATTGGTCAACAATAATTGGAGTACCAGCGATACAGAATATTATGTCGCAAAAAACATTTGAGATGATGAGGCGTCACATTTACTTTAACAACAATGATAATGCTCTGCCTTTGTCACACTCCTGTCACGATCGGCTATTCAAAATCAGGCCAATAATAGATGAACTAAACAAAAATTTTAAAAAAGTTCCTATGGAACAATTTTTGTGTGTTGATGAACTGATATGTTCAACAAAGGCTAAGAACAACATGAAAAGGTACAATCCCAACAATCCATCGATAGTTTGACAGCTCTACTTCATTGGCTAAAAGCCATACATTTAATTTTAATTATATTTAATATTTTTTTGTTTTGTTATAGTCCATGAAGGATCTCATTATTGTAAACATCTGAATTGTTTATTAAAATTTTTATTTTTGTTTTTAAATATGCATTTATTTAGTTTGTTTTTTAGTACTATCGATACTATTGAATAATATATGCAAAACCATCGAAACTATTGAATGTTGCAACCATCGATAGTTTGACAGCTCTACTTCATTGGCTAAAAGCCATACATTTAATTTTAATTATATTTAATATTTTTTTGTTTTGTTATAGTCCATGAAGGATCTCATTATTGTAAACATCTGAATTGCTTATTAAAATTTTTATTTTTGTTTTTAAATATGCATTTATTTAGTTTGTTTTTTAGTACTATCGATACTATTGAATAATATATGCAAAACCATCGAAACTATTGAATGTTGCAACCATCGATAGTTTGACAGCTCTACTTCATTGGCTAAAAGCCATACATTTAATTTTAATTATATTTAATATTTTTTTGTTTTGTTATAGTCCATGAAGGATCTCATTATTGTAAACATCTGAATTGTTTATTAAAATTTTTATTTTTATTTTTAAATATGCATTTATTTAGTTTGTTTATTAACTTGAAAATATTTTCGATAGTACTATCGATACTATTGAATAATTAATGCAAAACCATCGAAACTATTGAATGTTGCAACCATCGATAGTTTTACAGCTCTACTTCATTGGCTAAAAGCCATACATTTAATTTTAATAATATTTAATATTTTTTTGTTTTGTTATAGTCCATGAAGGATCTCATTATTGTAAACATCTGAATTGTTTATTAAAATTTTTATTTTTATTTTTAAATATGCATTTATTTAGTTTGTTTTTTAACTTGAAAATATTTTCGATAGTACTACCGATACTATTGAATAATTGTTGCAAAACCATCGAAACTATTGAATGTTGCAACCATCGATAGTTTTACAGCTCTACTTCATTGGCTAAAAGCCATACATTTATCTATAATTATATTTAATATATTTTTGTTTTATTATAGTCCATGAAGGATCTCATTTGACAGCTCTACTTCATTGGCTAACAGCCATACATTTAATTTTAATTATATTTAATATTTTTTTGTTTTGTTATAGTCCATGAAGGATCTCATTATTGTAAACATCTGAATTGTTTATTAAAATTTTTATTTCTATTTTTAAATATGCATTTATTTAGTTTGTTTTTTAACTTGAAAATATTTTCGATAGTACTATCGATACTATTGAATAATTGTTGCAAAACCATCGAAACTATTGAATGTTGCAACCATGGATAGTTTTTCAGCTCTACTTCAATGGCCGACATACCTTGGGATCTTTTAGGACTAATGGAACCTGTGCCTTTTGGCACAGCGTGGAGCAGAGTTTACGCAGCAAGCACAACCATACATGACAATGTATGTATATGTATAGTGTATGTATGTGTGTTTGTGTGAGGATTTATCTAAGTGCGTTTTTTGTAATTTTTATTTCAGGAAGCCATGCAAGAGGTTTGGGTTGCATATAAAGAGTGGATACGGGCGGCTGCCAGAACTGAAACCACCAAAAATTCATTTGTTTCTTGCTTACTCTCTCGCGCTTTCTACTAAGTTATGGCATGTAAAGAGTGGATACGGGCGGCTGCCAGAACTGAAACCACCAAAAATTCATTTGTTTCTTGCTTACTCTCTCGCGTTCTCTACTAAGTTATGGCAGTTGCACCAGTCACTATGCAGTCAGCAGTGGAGCTTACACATCCAGGCAGCACAATGCTAATACATGTACAATGTAGCAGAGTTTACGCAGCAGTCGCAACCATACATGTACAGCTGGACAATGACAGTGTATGTTTATGTATAGTGTATGTATGTGTGTTTGTGTGAGGATTTATCTAAGTGCATTTTTTTTTTGTAAATTTTATTTCAGGAAGCCATGCAAGAGGTTTGGGTTGCATGTAAAGAGTGGATACGGGCGGCTGCCAGAACTGAAACTACCAAAAATTCATTTGTTTCTTGCTTACTCTCTCGCGCTTTCTACTAAGTTATGGCATGTAAAGAGTGGATACGGGCGGCTGCCAGAACTGAAACCACCAAAAATTCATTTGTTTCTTGCTTACTCTCTCGCGTTCTCTACTAAGTTATGGCAGTTGCACCAGTCACTATGCAGTCAGCAGTGGAGCTTACACATCCAGGCAGCACAATGCTAATACATGTACAATGTAGCAGAGTTTACGCAGCAGGCGCAACCATACATGTACAGCTGGACAATGACAGTGTATGTATATGTATAGTGTATGTATGTGTGTTTGAGTGAGGATTTATCTAAGTGCGTTTTTTTTGTAATTTTTATTTCAGGAAGCCATGCAAGAGGTTTGGGTTGCATGTAAAGAGTGGATACGGGCGGCTGCCAGAACTGAAACTACCAAAAATTCATTTGTTTCTTGCTTACTCTCTCGCGCTTTCTACTAAGTTATGGCAGGTGCACCAGTCACTTTGCAGTCAGCAGTGGAGCTTACTCATCCAGGCGGCGCAATGCTAATACATGTACAATGTAGCAGAGTTTACGCAGCAGGCGCAACCATACATGTACAGCTGGACAATGACAGTGTATGTATATGTATAGTGTATGTATGTGTGTTTGTGTGAGGATTTATCTAAGTGCGTTTTTTGTAATTTTTATTTCAGGAAGCCATGCAAGAGGTTTGGGTTGCATATAAAGAGTGGATACGGGCGGCTGCCAGAACTGAAACCACCAAAAATTCATTTGTTTCTTGTTTACTCTCTCGCGCTCTCTACTAAGTTATGGCAGTTGCACCAGTCACTATGCAGTCAGCAGTGGAGCTTACGCATCCAGGCAGCACAATGCTAATACATGTACAATGTAGCAGAGTTTACGCAGCAGGCGCAACCATACATGTACAGCTGGACAATGACAGTGTATGTATATGTATAGTGTATGTATGTGTGTTTGTGTGAGGATTTATCTAAGTGCGTTTTTTTGTAATTTTTATTTCAGGAAGCCATGCAAGAGGTTTGGGTTGCATGTAAAGAGTGGATACGGGCGGCTGCCAGAACTGAAACCACCAAAAATTCATTTGTTTGTTGCTTACTCTCTCGCGCTTTCTACTAAGTTATGGCAGGTGCACCAGTCACTTTGCAGTCAGCAGTGGAGCTTACTCATCCAGGCGGCGCAATGCTAATACATGTACAATGTAGCAGAGTTTACGCAGCAGGCGCAACCATACATGTACAGCTGGACAATGACAGTGTATGTATATGTATAGTGTATGTATGTGTGTTTGTGTGAGGATTTATCTAAGTGCGTTTTTTGTAATTTTTATTTCAGGAAGCCATGCAAGAGGTTTGGGTTGCATATAAAGAGTGGATACGGGCGGCTGCCAGAACTGAAACCACCAAAAATTCATTTGTTTCTTGCTTACTCTCTCGCGCTCTCTACTAAGTTATGGCAGTTGCACCAGTCACTATGCAGTCAGCAGTGGAGCTTACACATCCAGGCAGCACAATGCTAATACATGTACAATGTAGCAGAGTTTACGCAGCAGGCGCAACCATACATGTACAGCTGGACAATGACAGTGTATGTATATGTATAGTGTATGTATGTGTGTTTGAGTGAGGATTTATCTAAGTGCGTTTTTTTGTAATTTTTATTTCAGGAAGCCATGCAAGAGGTTTGGGTTGCATGTAAAGAGTGGATACGGGCGGCTGCCAGAACTGAAACTACCAAAAATTCATTTGTTTCTTGCTTACTCTCTCGCGCTTTCTACTAAGTTATGGCAGGTGCACCAGTCACTATGCAGTCAGCAGTGGAGCTTACACATCCAGGCGGCACAATGCTAATACAAGTACAATGTAGCAGAGTTTACGCAGCAGGCGCAACCATACATGTACAGCTGGACAATGACAGTGTATGTATATGTATAGTGTATGTATGTGTGTTTGTGTGAGGATTTATCTAAGTGCGTTTTTTGTAATTTTTATTTCAGGAAGCCATGCAAGAGGTTTGGGTTGCATATAAAGAGTGGATACAGGCGGCTGCCAGAACTGAAACCACCAAAAATTCATTTGCTTCAGTTGAACCAGTCACTATGCAGTCAGCAGTTGTGTCGAATCGAGTGCGGCACCCACTCATCCACTTAGTCAGAGCGATTGTTCAGCAAAGTTGGACAGATTATCACGGAACGACGAGCCTTAAAAGCTAAGCATGTGGACATGCTTCTTTTTCTTCATCATAACTCTTGGATCTTGGCAGAAGACTAAAAGCCATACATTTAATTTTAATTATATTTAATATTTTTTTGGTTTGTTATAGTCCATGAAGGATCTCATTATTGTAAGCATTTGAATTGTTTATTAAAATTTTTATTTTTATTTTTAAATATGCATTTATTTAGTTTGTTTTTTAACCCTTTATATGGCAGTGTTGCATATCTGCAACATACCCTTTAAAAGATATTTTTTCGCAATGCAAATCGAAAAAATCGAATGTGGCTATATGTTGTACATCTGAAACAAACGTATTTTATAAATGATTTGCTTTGGGCACATTTCTAGATGTTTTGTAAAACATGTTCACTTTCCGTTTCTCATTATTGTAAGCATTTGAATTGTTTATTAAAATTTTTATTTTTATTTTTAAATATGCATTTATTTAGTTTGTTTTTTAACCCTTTATATGGCAGTGTTGCATATCTGCAACATACCCTTTAAAAGATATTTTTTCGCAATGCAAATCGAAAAAATCGAATGTGGCTATATGTTGTACATCTGAAACAAACGTATTTTATAAATGATTTGCTTTGGGCACATTTCTAGATGTTTTGTAAAACATGTTCACTTTCCCGCCAATTTTGTGAGAAGCACATGTTGAGTGCGCTGAAAAAATTGTGTTGCAAAATTTTATTAAAAATATAGATATTTCTTTACGAAAAACTTAAGAAAAACAAAGGTAAATATGTTTCAAATGCATGTGCTATCAAGTTTTCACGTTTCTTGTTGTGTATTGTGTGTAGATTCGAAAAATCGGTATGTTGCAGATATACATCAAACAAGTATTCGAAGTTATACTGTGCAGAATTTATTTTGTTGTATTTATGCAACATAGAGTGTTTGTGTTTATATTATATGTTGTTATGTGTTTATACATATGGTTATATGTTGTTGTTATGTGTCATAGAACTTGTCTTGGGTTTGTTGTATGTGTTTTATGAGACTACATATATAAATAGTACTTCTTACGCAGGAAATATGTCAGGAAAAGGTTTAACACCTTCACAGGTTGAAAATTATTTCAACAGTTTAGATAGCGAGGATGAACTTGACTTTTCTGCTGATGAAGAAAGCGATTTTTATCCAGATGAGAAAGATGCAGGTAGTACGGATGAAGATGACATCGATGACCAAAATCCACCGAGTAATGCCTTAGACGTTTCAAACTCAAATCTCGTAGATGATTCTGAGCCAAATGTTAAAAGTAATAACCCTGATCTGAAAAGAAACTTGCTATGGAGAAAACGCAGTTTAATTTTGAACGAAAATCAACTGCAGTTTCTCGGGAGTACTATGTTGCATCCGGAACTAATGGAACTATCAGAGCCAATACAATTTTTTTGGTATCTTTTTCCAAAAAACCTGTTTGATGAAATTACAATCGAAACAAATCTTTATATTCGCCAAAAAGACCCTAACGCACATGTCAATTTTACGTCCTTAGATATTCGACAGTTTGTTGGAATAATATTATACATGTCAATTTCGCGTCTTCCAAGAATTACTCAATATTGGTCAACAATAATTGGAGTACCAGCGATACAGAATATTATGTCGCAAAAAACATTTGAGATGATGAGGCGTCACATTTACTTTAACAACAATGATAATGCTCTGCCTTTGTCACACTCCTGTCACGATCGGCTATTCAAAATCAGGCCAATAATAGATGAACTAAACAAAAATTTTAAAAAAGTTCCTATGGAACAATTTTTGTGTGTTGATGAACTGATATGTTCAACAAAGGCTAAGAACAACATGAAAAGGTACAATCCCAACAATCCATCGATAGTTTGACAGCTCTACTTCATTGGCTAAAAGCCATACATTTAATTTTAATTATATTTAATATTTTTTTGTTTTGTTATAGTCCATGAAGGTTCTCATTATTGTAAACATCTGAATTGTTTATTAAAATTTTTATTTTTGTTTTTAAATATGCATTTATTTAGTTTGTTTTTTAGTACTATCGATACTATTGAATAATATATGCAAAACCATCGAAACTATTGAATGTTGCAACCATCGATAGTTTGACAGCTCTACTTCATTGGCTAAAAGCCATACATTTATCTTTAATTATATTTAATATATTTTTGTTTTATTATAGTCCAAGAAGGATCTCATTTGACAGCTCTACTTCATTGGCTAACAGCCATACATTTAATTTTAATTATATTTAATATTTTTTTGTTTTGTTATAGTCCATGAAGGATCTCATTATTGTAAACATCTGAATTGTTTATTAAAATTTTTATTTTTATTTTTAAATATGCATTTATTTAGTTTGTTTTTTAACTTGAAAATATTTTCGATAGTACTATCGATACTATTGAATAATTGTTGCAAAACCATCGAAACTATTGAATGTTGCAACCATGGATAGTTTTTCAGCTCTACTTCAATGGCCGACATACCTTGGGATCTTTTAGCACTAATGGAACCTGTGCCTTTTGGCACAGCGTGGAGCAGAGTTTACGCAGCAAGCACAACCATACATGACAATGTATGTATATGTATAGTGTATGTATGTGTGTTTGTGTGAGGATTTATCTAAGTGCGTTTTTTGTAATTTTTATTTCAGGAAGCCATGCAAGAGGTTTGGGTTGCATATAAAGAGTGGATACGGGCGGCTGCCAGAACTGAAACCACCAAAAATTCATTTGTTTCTTGCTTACTCTCTCGCGCTCTCTACTAAGTTATGGCATGTAAAGAGTGGATACGGGCGGCTGCCAGAACTGAAACCACCAAAAATTCATTTGTTTCTTGCTTACTCTCTCGCGTTTTCTACTAAGTTATGGCAGGTGCACCAGTCACTATGCAGTCAGCAGTGGAGCTTACACATCCAGGCAGCACAATGCTAATACATGTACAATGTAGCAGAGTTTACGCAGCAGGCGCAACCATACATGTACAGCTGGACAATGACAGTGTATGTATATGTATAGTGTATGTATGTGTGTTTGTGTGAGGATTTATCTAAGTGCGTTTTTTGTAATTTTTATTTCAGGAAGCCATGCAAGAGGTTTGGGTTGCATATAAAGAGTGGATACGGGCGGCTGCCAGAACTGAAACCACCAAAAATTCATTTGTTTCTTGCTTACTCTCTCGCGCTCTCTACTAAGTTATGGCAGTTGCACCAGTCACTATGCAGTCAGCAGTGGAGCTTACACATCCAGGCAGCACAATGCTAATACATGTACAATGTAGCAGAGTTTACGCAGCAGGCGCAACCATACATGTACAGCTGGACAATGACAGTGTATGTATATGTATAGTGTATGTATGTGTGTTTGAGTGAGGATTTATCTAAGTGCGTTTTTTTGTAATTTTTATTTCAGGAAGCCATGCAAGAGGTTTGGGTTGCATGTAAAGAGTGGATACGGGCGGCTGCCAGAACTGAAACTACCAAAAATTCATTTGTTTCTTGCTTACTCTCTCGCGCTTTCTACTAAGTTATGGCAGGTGCACCAGTCACTTTGCAGTCAGCAGTGGAGCTTACTCATCCAGGCGGCGCAATGCTAATACATGTACAATGGAGCAGAGTTTACGCAGCAGTCGCAACCATACATGTACAGCTGGACAATGACAATGTATGTATATGTATAGTGTATGTATGTGTGTTTGTGTAAGGATTTATCTAAGTGCGTTTTTTGTAATTTTTATTTCAGGAAGCCATGCAAGAGGTTTGGGTTGCATATAAAGAGTGGATACGGGCGGCTGCCAGAACTGAAACCACCAAAAATTCATTTGTTTCTTGCTTACTCTCTCGCGCTTTCTACTAAGTTATGGCAGGTGCACCAGTCACTTTGCAGTCAGCAGTGGAGCTTACTTATCCAGGCGGCGCAATGCTAATACATGTACAATGTAGCATAGTTTACGCAGCAGGCGCAACCATACATGTACAGCTGGACAATGACAGTGTATGTATATGTATAGTGTATGTATGTGTGTTTGTGTGAGGATTTATCTAAGTGCGTTTTTTTGTAATTTTTATTTCAGGAAGCCATGCAAGAGGTTTGGGTTGCATATAAAGAGTGGATACGGGCGGCTGCCAGAACTGAAACCACCAAACATTCATTTGTTTCAGTTGAACCAGTCACTATGCAGTCAGCAGTTGTGTCGAATCGAGTGCGGCACCCACTCATCCACTGAGTCAGAGCGATTGTTCAGCAAAGTTGGACAGATTATCACGGAACGACGAGCCTTAAAAGCTAAGCATGTGGACATGCTTCTTTTTCTTCATCATAACTCTTGGATCTTGGCAGAAGACTAAAAGCCATACATTTAATTTTAATTATATTTAATATTTTTTTGGTTTGTTATAGTCCATGAAGGATCTCATTATTGTAAGCATTTGAATTGTTTATTAAAATTTTTATTTTTATTTTTAAATATGCATTTATTTAGTTTGTTTTTTAACCCTTTATATGGCAGTGTTGCATATCTGCAACATACCCTTTAAAAGATATTTTTTCGCAATGCAAATCGAAAAAATCGAATGTGGCTATATGTTGTACATCTGAAACAAACGTATTTTATAAATGATTTGCTTTGGGCACATTTCTAGATGTTTTGTAAAACATATGTTCACTTTCCCGCCAATTTTGTGAGAAGCACATGTTGAGTGCGCTGAAAAAATTGTGTTGCAAAATTTTATTAAAAATATAGATATTTCTTTACGAAAAACTTAAGAAAAACAAAGGTAAATATGTTTCAAATGCATGTGCTATCAAGTTTTCACGTTTCTTGTTGTGTATTGTGTGTAGATTCGAAAAATCGGTATGTTGCAGATATACATCAAACAAGTATTTGAAGTTATATTGTGCAGAATTTATTTTGTTGTATTTATGCAACATAGAGTGTTTGTGTTTATATTATATGTTGTCATATGGTTATATGTTGTTGTTATGTGTCATAGAACTTGTCTTGGGTTTGTTGTATGTGTTTTATGAGACTACATATATAAATAGTACTTCTTACGCAGGAAATATGTCAGGAAAAGGTTTAACACCTTCACAGGTTGAAAATTATTTCAACAGTTTAGATAGCGAGGATGAACTTGACTTTTCTGCTGATGAAGAAAGCGATTTTTATCCAGATGAGAAAGATGCAGGTAGTACGGATGAAGATGACATCGATGACCAAAATCCACCGAGTAATGCCTTAGACGTTTCAAACTCAAATCTCGAAGATGATTCTGAGCCAAATGTTAAAAGTAATAACCCTGATCTGAAAAGAAACTTGTTATGGAGAAAACGCAGTTTAATTTTGAACGAAAATCAACTGCAGTTTCTCGGGAGTACTATGTTGCATCCGGAACTAATGGAACTATCAGAGCCAATACAATTTTTTTGGTATCTTTTTCCAAAAAACCTGTTTGATGAAATTACAATCGAAACAAATCTTTATATTCGCCAAAAAGACCCTAACGCACATGTCAATTTTACGTCCTTAGATATTCGACAGTTTGTTGGAATAATATTATACATGTCAATTTCGCGTCTTCCAAGAATTACTCAATATTGGTCAACAATAATTGGAGTACCAGCGATACAGAATATTATGTCGCAAAAAACATTTGAGATGATGAGGCGTCACATTTACTTTAACAACAATGATAATGCTCTGCCTTTGTCACACTCCTGTCACGATCGGCTATTCAAAATCAGGCCAATAATAGATGAACTAAACAAAAATTTTAAAAAAGTTCCTATGGAACAATTTTTGTGTGTTGACGAACTGATATGTTCAACAAAGGCTAAGAACCACATGAAAAGGTACAATCCCAACAATCCATCGATAGTTTGACAGCTCTACTTCATTGGCTAAAAGCCATACATTTAATTTTAATTATATTTAATATTTTTTTGTTTTGTTATAGTCCATGAAGGATCTCATTATTGTAAACATCTGAATTGTTTATTAAAATTTTTATTTTTGTTTTTAAATATGCATTTATTTAGTTTGTTTTTTAGTACTATCGATACTATTGAATAATATATGCAAAACCATCGAAACTATTGAATGTTGCAACCATCGATAGTTTGACAGCTCTACTTCATTGGCTAAAAGCCATACATTTAATTTTAATTATATTTAATATTTTTTTGTTTTGTTATAGTCCATGAAGGATCTCATTATTGTAAACATCTGAATTGTTTATTAAAATTTTTATTTTTGTTTTTAAATATGCATTTATTTAGTTTGTTTTTTAGTACTATCGATACTATTGAATAATATATGCAAAACCATCGAAACTATTGAATGTTGCAACCATCGATAGTTTGACAGCTCTACTTCATTGGCTAAAAGCCATACATTTAATTTTAATTATATTTAATATTTTTTTGTTTTGTTATAGTCCATGAAGGATCTCATTATTGTAAACATCTGAATTGTTTATTAAAATTTTTATTTTTATTTTTAAATATGCATTTATTTAGTTTGTTTATTAACTTGAAAATATTTTCGATAGTACTATCGATACTATTGAATAATTAATGCAAAACCATCGAAACTATTGAATGTTGCAACCATCGATAGTTTTACAGCTCTACTTCATTGGCTAAAAGCCATACATTTATCTATAATTATATTTAATATATTTTTGTTTTATTATAGTCCATGAAGGATCTCATTTGACAGCTCTACTTCATTGGCTAACAGCCATACATTTAATTTTAATTATATTTAATATTTTTTTGTTTTGTTATAGTCCATGAAGGATCTCATTATTGT